CTCATGCCTAAGGAGTGACTAGAACTCCCAGTCTCCTGGTGATTGGCTCAAAGTCACCCAGTTGGCTTCCATGCCTAAGTCGGGACTATAATTCACTGTTTCCTGACATCTAGCCAATGCCTTTACCACTAGTCAAAAGTAGTGGTAGGGGTGGAGCTTAATATGGAAGCAAAGTTGCTCCTCCCTTAAAGCTCCGCCTCCCGCTAAATCGAGCTCTTGAGTTCTCCATCCCCGCCTTTTGCGTTTTCATCGCCCTAACTGAAACCTGTGTGATTCCTCAGTCAACAGGACATTATTTTTATTGATTCACTTTGGTATTTATCTCTCACCTTGCCATGACGATGCATAAGGCAGCCTCACACGTTTTAAAGAAAAGCAAAATTAAAATACAACTCTGCCAATAAAAGAGGAGACACATCACAGCCATTGAATAGCACCATAAAACATATTCCACAAACAGCAAAATAAAATATAATCTGAGCAGCTCTAAATAAGGAGACAGGGGGAAAATGGTTAGAATAAAATATGTTGAAGGTGCAGCCAGGAACAAAGCTGCCTATGGTCTGTGTGTGTGTGTGTGTGTGTGTGTGTGTGTGTGTACGCACACGCAAAGATGCTGATATTGTCACTTGTCAGAGGAAGTCAAGGAGTAAGAGGAACAAGAGCAGGGACTAATATATTAATGAGAAGGAAAGGAGAAAGGGAAAAAAAGAGGAGAAATAGAGTAGAATAGAATAGAATAGAATAGAATAGAATAGAATAGAATAGAATAGAATAGGAGGAGGAGGAAGAGGAGAAGGAAGAGAAGGAGAAAAGCAGAAGCAGAAAAGAATAGAATAGAGGAGGAGAAGAAAGAGAAGGAGAAAAGTAGAAGCAGAAGCAAAGAAGAATAGAATAGAATAGAATAGAATAGATTAGAATAGAATAGAATAGAATAGAATAGAATAGAATAGAATAGGAGGAGGAGGAAGAGAAGGAGAAAAGCAGAAGCAGAGAAGAATATCATAGAATGTGGAGAAAGAGGAGTTTTTAATGATCTCTTTTGAACGGTGTGTAAATGTGGTTTATCTCTATGTGTCTATTGATTTATTGACACATATAAATCAGAACGCATCCTGTCCAGCAGCCCAGATAAGCAGAGACCAGACAAACAAGCAGGAAACAATACTCCAATCAAAGAACTGCCAAGGAAAAGGCCCCACACCCCACCAACTTACACCAAGGGAATCTACCGTATATAACATCCAGAGAGCAAACCCCACAGCTTTTCAACAATGAGGACATTGCCTAATTAGGCCATGAAACCACTGCAAGAAAACAGCCAAACTCAAGAGAGCACCAAGGAATCCACATTTCAGTCAATTTTAAGAAATGAAACCTAAAAACAAAAAACAACAACAACAAAAAAACAGGTAAATCAGAGAGTCTAACCGTTATTAAAGACAAAATCCATGGACATCATGTTTGGAGTGCCAGAATTAGCATTGGGAAAGTTCGCAAAAGTTTGCCATTTCTATTTCTTCCTTCCCCAGGAAGTCTCTTATCAAGCCAGAGCACCCCCAATTGCCCAAACAATTGTTACCAACCTGCCTTCCATGGAGGACCTGTATACTGCACAAGTCAAAAAGAGGGCTGTGAAAATATCTACATCCTGGACATAAACTGTTTCAACTCCTACCCTCAAAACGACATTATAGAGCCCTGCACACCAGAACTAGACACAAGGACAGTTTTTTTTCCCCGAACGCCATCACTCTGCTAAACAAATAATTCCCTCAACGCTGTCCAACTATTTACTAAGACTGCACTACTATTACTATTAATCTTCTCATCGCTCCTTATCACCCGTCCCCTCCCACTTGTGACTGCATGGTTGTAACTTTGTCGCTTCTATCCAAACGATTTTTATTGACTGTTTCCTAGTATGATTTGATTGCTTATTGTACCCTATGACTATTAAGTGTTGTACCTCATGATTCTTGACGAATGTATCTTTTCTTTTGATGTACACTGAGAGCATATGCACCAAAGACAAATTCCTTGTGTGTCCAATCACGAATTGGCCAATCAAGAATTCAATTCAATTCAAAAAGGGAGGGTGGGATTGAAGAAGAAGGCCATGAAGATGAGAAGATGGGAATAGCTCCAGAATGAGGCATGCTTTCTTTCTGTGGAGGGAACCTATCCATGTCCCCAACAGCTTTCAATGCGTGTCTCACACAGCTCAGGAGGGATTGCCACATTTTTTAAATATTTTCAACGCCCAGAGGATGAGAGGGAAAAAAAAAACCTTCCATCAGTTTTGGCTCGTTGATCGTAACTTCTGATCTTGGTTTCTTTTCAAACAAACCGTTTCTTTTCTCCCAAGCTACATGCTTTCTCTTCTCTTTCCCCTCCGAGCTTCATTCAGAAACCTCCTGGTGTGTTCCGTCTCATTTGTCCAGCCCCAAATCCTCTTCTCTCATTTGTGGAAAGCTTTGCCTTGCCACCCAATCTGATCCTTGCCAAAATCATCACAATTATAAAGTTGGTGCTTGTTTAAAATCCCTCCAGGCCTGTTTTGAGAAATGCTGCCTGTCACAT